CACTCAAAATCTATGTATCAAGTACCTCAGTGTGGACGTTAGTAGGATTAAAGGGAAACGTGTGGCAAAGTAGTAAACAATAAGAAGCCCTGCATAAAAAAACAGGACTGGTAAGTATTTACAATAAAAAGGTGCTATTGAGATAAAATTTTGTGGCTTTGTTAATGCTGATTTGATTCTGTGTATAGGTTATTCCCTCCTGCCAAGATTTCCTTTCCCAAAGTAACCAGAATTGTTGACGGGGAGAAAAGTCTACAAAGCAATTTGGAGAAAGATCACTCAAGATCTATGTATCAAAGTACCTCAATAAGGAAATTAGCAGGATTCAAGAGAAATATGTGTGGCAAAGTAGTAAACAATAAGAATACCTGCATACAAAACCAGGACCGGTATGTATTTATATCAAAATAAAAGATACTTTTGAGATAAACTTTTGTGTCTTTTTTAATGCTAATTTTATTCTTTGTATAGGTCATTCCCAAGCGAATTTGGGAAGGTTTGTTTAAAGATTATTAGTACATATCTGCGAGAGAAGCTTGGGTGGGACATTAAGAAGATGGTTCCAAGCAGACGTTTGCAGCGAGAACTTTTTACAATAAGTTTCATTGTTTTAATCTGAGGATTAAAGGTGTTGGTTGGAATCAAATATGAAGCACTGATTGCATTTTCTTATGGCAGTTTCTTGGCAATGAAATGAAGATTTCTGCAATATCTACCATTGTAGAATCGATTCTGCAGTTCAAAAACAAGGATGTTTTAGCCTACATCTTAAGCTTACAAAACTATGAGGTGAGCAATAGTTTCATGGTGTTCAGGATAATGAAAAGTGTAACTTTCTTATAATGAGATACACTTATTATGGACTATTATGACATGATTTTAATAAATTTTCTGACATAATTTAATGACATATTAATTGTTTCTTCTGTTTGGGTATAGGGGAATACCCTGTTACACCTCGCTATTTTGGGCAAGCATTTTGATGTAATATCACTCTTGTTGGCTTCCTGCCCCTGGCTGTGGACATACAGAATCAAATGAGTATTTTCTTCATTTTGTTTTGGAATATAGGGACTCGAGTATATCAATGAAGTCTCTTCAGCTTTGAGGAAACTGCTATTACATTCCAGATATGTTTAATTATGTTACTTTTAAATACTATCAGTGTCATCGAAGAATTGTTTCTGTGTAATTTTTATGATCGCAGGGTTTTGGAAACACCTGTGTTAAGAAATATACACATCTAAACTGAAACCATGTTATATTAGATGTTTAGTAATTCAAAAGTTCTGTTTTAACTATTTACTCAGAAAATACGGTTTTTCTCTCTAAATACCTACTTGTGTATCTTGTTAGTGTGTAATTTGATATGACATATCATGAAGGAATAATGAATAACTTAATGAAACACTGTATTGTGTAAGGTTATTTCTTTTGTGTGTGTGTGGTGAAATACATCTGCTATCTTTTGTTTTTAAAATATGTTGGTGTTCTTTAATAGGCATCCAAAACTCAGGGTTTTGGAGCATAGAACAGCAGTCAGTCCTTGTTCTTATGGTGCAGCCAGTAGCCAATACAGTGAAGCTTGGCCTGATAGGGTATGTGATGTCTTTTATACAATAGATATACATTCACAGTCAGGCTGGTGGTGTTTTTTGTAACTTGTAGTAATTTTTATATTTTGCAGACTTTATGCCATTCTTAATAGTATTTGTACAGACAATGTGAGAAAACACACAATTTATTGTGAAAAATGAATTGAAATCATAAAATCCAATACTACAAAGTTCATCTGTAGCAAATTTCAAGTTGGCTAAGTTTTGTTGAATTCTTGTACAACATTTAACAAACATGATTTTATGTGTTAGATGGCAAAGAGCTGAATTGCCTTGTATCAGAAACAGCAATTACTAGTGATGAAAAAGCGATACATACTTTTCCCCTTCTTTCTTTTTCTTTATTTACTTTGTTTAAATTTAATAAATAAAATATATTCTAAGATTGTAATAGACAGGTTTGTAATTTACTTCATCTAATGTTTGTATTTTACCAACAATTGTACCCCATAACAAAAACTGTACAAATTGAAATCACATTTCAATAAAATCTGCTTCATTCAAAGACCTTGTTATTGTATTTGTTGTAAATGTAAGATATCCTTCTACTCTGCAGGGTCTGTGCCAATAACCAAGTGTCTTAGAGAATTCTTTCTTGTTTCTGAAATGAGTTTGTTTTCTGTTGGAAAGTCCTAATGTATCTTGGATGAGGGAAGTGCAAATAAAAACAAAATATTTTGATTCGCAGTAGAATTATGCTACAATTCTAACTGAATAAAGTTTACCACCATTTAACTATTGATTTTGAATTAACCCATTCTTAAGGACTTCAATTACTAACTTTGAAAAGAATGGACTTTGTAATACTAAAAAGGAATCACTTTCAGATTGTGGACACTGTCCGTTGCCAGAAATGAGTAGTACAAACTGTGAAAGCCATAACACATGCTCACGTGTTTGGGAAATTTGGTGTTACTACGCACAGAATGAAAGAGAAATGTAAAGTAATGTTCGGTTTTGGTGTCATTGTGTGTACCACATAACTAGGGATGAAGCTTGTGATCTGTGGGTCATGATTTATTTATTTCTAAGACTCAGTAAATATAATTATATATTAATGATTTTTGGGACAAATGAAAATACTGCATTTAAACTGAAATACAAGTGTTATTGATTTAAAGTTTACTTCCGCAGTAGAATTCACCTTGTAACAATTGTCCAAGTTTGTCTGTGGGGTGTTCTAATTAGGAAGTTTGTTCTTGCAATATTGTCCCTATTTTGTGCACTTTTATTCTGGAGGAAAATAAAAGGATGGCTTGTGTTCAGTGGTTAGCTGTGAAGCCCAATAACTATGGGCAAAGGAAAACATATTGAGACAATTCTCAATTATTTTTATGAATTACACAAATCATATTTACTAAATTGTAATGATCAATTATAATCTATAAATGCCATCACTCTAGGTAAGTCTCTCTTTTTGAGTACCTGTTGTCCAGGATGAGATAGCCCTAATCTTCGAGTCTGGATTCACAACTGCTGCTAATGCATTCAGTTGTATATAGGGATTACACCCAGGTACATCCCATTGTTAAAGTGTTTTATTAGTTTGCTGTTGGAAATAGTCGACCTAAATTTTGACAATGTATTTTATGCCAATAATGCAATAAAAACAGAATAACATCATGTTATATGTTATTAAAAACTTGTTTGAAATTGCAAATAATCTAGTTGGAGAGTCCTTGATAATATTTTATAGTAAACAGAGTAAGATAACATAACAAAATATATTGTTGCTGTTATTGATACATTACAATAGTCATAAGGAGGTTTCTTTCAAAATTAAAATATGTTTTTGTTTGTGCTGTCAATTTTGTTAGCATGTAGGTGTCTAGCTGAGCATTACAACATTGGCTTGTCATTCTAAAATTGTTAATTTTAATTTGAAGACAGTACTACATCACAGACAAGACTTGAGTATTATTTTATTGAGTGTTGTTTTTGATTGACAATACGTCTACATTAATATAGGTACTGAGCTCAGTTACATTTAAATACATTATTCTGCCATTGAGTGAACTTGGTGCTATCCTTCAACAATGGCCAGCAAAAAGATCATATAAAATGAACGTAAGTTATATGAAAGAAGAATAACTCATTGAATATCTTTGTTTTGTTTTTTGAAAAAGGTTCGTTGTATCAGTTGATAATGTTGTAATACTTATTAATGGGAAATTTTGTTTCCTGTGAGAGAATTAAAGTAACAATAATATTGATGCCAATATAATTACAGTTACATAATGTGTTATTATCTAAGAGTCTTGTATGTGAAGTAAGTACCTAATCTAATTGATAGTAAATCATTTGACATCGTTCGACATGAAAGGAAGTGGATATCTTACCAACATGACACACAAGTACTACACCAACTTCGTGAGTGTATGTTATGATGTTTTGCCTGGTGTTTATGGAAGTGGACTGGGAGCTTGGCTAGGACCAGCAGCATGGGAACAGTGATATTTACTTATTTTTTATTTATGTCAAAAACAGTTACAATCTGTGTGTGATGTGCTAGGGGAAGAAGTTTATTTGAAGTTATAGTCCAGAAGCAAAACAAGGGGCCATCTCAGCATTTGCTCAAGGATCAAGGAAACTGGACAAAACCTGATCGAGACGGGGGTCATTGACACAGAAGTTGAGGTACAATACTTGTTACAGGTTCTTTAGAATTATACAATCCACATGGTAAATAATGCACTAAATGTCGTTAATATTAATATTACTTCCCTTTTGCATGCTCGGTATAGTCTCTATTTGTATCGAAACAATTGTGCAGCAGAAAAGATTTTACTTGGAATAAACTTTTGTATCAAATTTAATCGTTTAATGCCATCTGGTGAGGTGTTGTAACATAATGTACATGTATTGTATGTGAATTTTTTGTCCGTTGATACTGTACCTGATGAATATGATTACAACATCAAGTGTTGTAGTTATAGACATCAGTGTTAGCTGAAAATATATCAAGAGACAAGGTAATAGTAAAATAGATTAATAAAGAGAGGTTTACCTGAATTACGTGGGTGGGATTTGCTAATTATTCAAACAATTCTTTTTTGTAATCAAAAGTCTGGTAGCTCTAAGATGGATTTCCCCAGAATATTATGCAAAATCTCAGGCGGGAATGAATATTCGCGAACTATACACGAGCAGTGTGGAGGCTGACTTAATTTGAAAGAATTCTGAAAGCGTAGCATAAAGAACTTAATTTAGTGATCAATTCATTTAAATGGACATTCCATTTAAGGTTTGACTGAATTGAAAGACCTACAAATTTTGTTACCTTAACATCAGTCAATGGCACACTGTTCATTTTCAATGTGATAGAGAGCTGTTTATTTGAAATGGAAAACTGCATTGAAACCGTTTTCTTTTCATTTTATATTAATTTGTTATTACGGTACCAATTTGAAATATCTGATATTGTACTATTTATGGTTTCTTTATTGCAAGTGGTGACTATTACCGTTTCCAATATGCTGCCTCTTGGACAAGTGTGGGAAGAGCCCCAGAGAAGACTGATCATTTACACCCCGACTATCAAGAACGGCTAGGGCATTTGGTTAATCCAAACCAAAAAATTATCGGTTGAAGCACTCTGTCCTAGAAGGATATAAATGTTACAGATAATGAATGTGAGAAATTGGAGATACACCTGCACACGGTTTGAAACTCGGTCTGAAGTGCCTCTGTAGTTGCGAATAGTGAACCAATGTAGCAACTTTGCTGTGAGCATGAAGCATCAACATTGAATCCGAGAAGAGACAAGAGATAATTGTTATTCTTATTAATTATTCTTGTAAACAGATCATCAGAGGACTGTAATGGGACAACAGTTTTAGATCGCCCCATCGCGAGGAGAAACCATTCACATTCTATGTCAAGAGAGCCAAGGTGATATTAGTTCACCTAATTTTTAGGTATTGTGTCCCGAATGGGCGAGTTTCCTTCGAAACGGCAATCCTCCTGGGCACTGCTAGGGGTGCTAGTTGCTTGCCCAGAGCGAGAGTCCAATTGTGCGAGAAGTCGAGGCTTTGATAACGAGCACTCAGTAATCTTGTCTCAGGGGGATACACGCTCAACAGGGACTTTCATCAACAGATGTTTGGATGTCTTTACAATTTTATATGTTATTTATGATTTTTTAAACTCTTCTTGAAATTTTTGTTTTTAAAGATTAGGTCAAGGAAATGCAATATACGATTTATACCTACTTTATATTATAAGTTGAAATTTAAATTAAACAAGGAGCCAAGAAAAATCAGTGAGAAGGACGAGCTTGCATTTCTTACCTGATTCCCTAAACTTGGGGGAATATCAGAAAGTGCACAACGTATATCGCAACAAGTGCTGAAAATGATTTCCCGCACAAATTGCTGAATACTACATAGTAAATTACATACTGAGGATGTTTGATGCCATCCTTATATAAGCAAATAAACCCATATTTAATACCATATAATCATAGTTATATATTTTTTGCTGAGTGCATCTTATGCCAAAAATTACACAATGCAACAAGGCAATTCTGACAGAATTCATATCTTCCTAGTGTGCCAATAAATTAAATTTCTTTTGTAGCATTTATTGCCAATTCATCCTGCTGATTTTAAATCTACTGTTAATATTCAGCAGCTCAGAATTTCATAGAATTCAGCTAAATCACAAATTCCATTAGCTATGAAGGATTCAAAGCATGGAACTATATGAAATAAAAGAACAATTTATTTGGATTTTGTAATGGCAAGTGTTGTGGGCCAAGTTGTTGATAAGCAACATTGAAATTAACGGAATATGAACATTTGAGAAGAAAGAAATTAAGAGGTACATTGAATCTTGTAAGGAAAGAAAACCATTTCAGAGTAAAAACTATTATTTTCATTGCAGCAATTAAATTATAATAATTGCATACATATCTAATTTCATTAAGATTTCATAGATTTGAAAACTATGCTCTAACTACTGCCTTTCCAAAATTACAGCCTTTCATCATGTCTATAAATGCTCGAGGCAGATTCTCAAAACCTTCAGTAATTGTTTCAAAATACTTCAGTTTACCCTGCAAAAGAAATAACACATCCCATCATTTACAAAATTATTAATAATCCTTTAATATCCTGAAAACACTTACCATTTTTACCCATTCGTAATTTTGCATAATGCCTTCCATGAAACGATCCAACCAACGTGCAACTATAAATCCTTCCATTTTCAATTGATTTCCAACAATAGCGGGCTGAATTACTGATGCTGTAAGAGAGAATTTTGCAGAGTTGATAATGAAAATACTATATTAGTAATTAAAATGCCACTCTTATGCAATGGTATATGATTTATTATAATCTGATTCTCATAAAGGAATATAATTCGTTTCAGATCAGACTGTTGAGAAAAAAGTCCTAGTTGTTGCTAATTAAATCAAAATTAAGAAGAAATTTCAGCGTATAACCCCTCAGCCCCCTTCAACACACTTCGAAAGAAAGTAAATGGAAAAATATGAACTAAGGTGTTTATTTCAATTTTTACCTTGAGGTTTTTCGTTATCCATATTATATGATGATATGGAACCACATACTGCAATTCGTCCATGAGTGTTCATATGATTGATAACCTTGCTGCTTATTTCTCCACCCACCTAATGCATAAAATTCAGATAATGATCAGAAAATTAAATTTTGCCACAAATTAACTTATGCCAAATTCACAAGATTAATTATTCCAGTAACTAATATTAGAAAGGAATGACAGCAAATTTACAAACATTGTCAAAATAACAGTCAATCCCCTCAGGGGCTGCTTCCTTCAAGGCAGATTCAATGTCATATGTCTTGTAATTGAATGCATGATCAAAACCAAGATCTTTTATCAGCCATTTAACTTTCTTATCAGAACCAGCAAATCCAATCACTTTGCAACCTAAAACATAACACTGGCTTCATACAAAACTGTTCAGTATAAAATGTAAATGAAATAAAATGATTGATATAATGACCTTTTATTCGGGCAATTTGGCCCACATGACTACCCACAGCACCAGCGGCCCCAGATACTACCACCACTTCTCCCTTCTTGGGTTGACAAATTTCCAAAAAGCCAAAATACGCTGAATTTCTTCAATCAGATTTACACTTATTAATGGACAATTTGCTATATCCAACAGATTATTAATTATTACACTTTTATTCTTACCCTGGTCTCCCCAGAACTCCTAAAGCCAGAGAGAGTGGAAGATCCCCAAAATTTGGTATTTTGTAAGGCTTCAAGTGTCCTGGAGGAGGTGGTTGGGAAATATCAACAATGGTGTGTGTCTGCCACCCAAAGAAGCCCACCACAAGGTCTCCAACTTGATAGTTATTGTGTTTACTTTCAATCACTCTTGGGTGTGGCAAAAAAAAAGTTTGGTAATGTTAAATTCTATACTTAGGCAGCATATACAAAAAAATCAAACAAACTTGCATCTTACTTTGCTACTTGAAGGCCAATCATGGTGATTCCAACAGGGTAACGAGCAGTATATATCCTTGAACAAATTTAGAGTAATAATTTTTTGTTACAATTACGTCAGTAAATCAAGTTAAATTTTCTGAAATATTCCCACAAACCTCATATAAGGGTCAACACTATACCACAAAGCTTCACACAATATCTCTGTGAAAAAAATACACATAAATGTACTGACTTTCATAAATTAATCCCTTCATCAATGTATTATTGAATCTGAATTGAAACCTTCATCTTTGATGGCAGGTAGTAACTCCTCAATTAAAGAGAAGTTGTTTTCTTCAGGTTCACCATGAAAATGTTTGGATAATATGAATTTTTTGTTTTTAATCATTGTCTATAAATCTAAGTAGGTGATTACAGAGCTTTTAAAAACAATTACTACTGTAAAATTCCTAAACCAATTCTTTCTGACTTCTTGACTCTATTTGAGGCAATGTAATGTTTGTCCTGTTGAGGTTAGGTAAAAGCTTTATCTTTGTCCTTGAAACTACAAGTGAGTCAAGTGTAGTTCTTAATCTCTGATATCAATCAACATTTAAAAAAATGATATTGATTAATTATTACGGTAACATATTTGGTGTCCAAAAAATACAACAACAAACAAAAAATTTGAATCCATTAAATTTTATTTTAACATTTTGTTTCAGTCTCTTTGACATGAACAATCCACTTGAACACAATGCTCATTCATTTTATTTTTTCTTAATACGAAAAGTCAATACAATTATAAACAACACTTTTCCATGATATTCATACAAGGTAACGAATGGGGACCCTGCGTATATAACAATTTGATGAACTGTTTTTTTCAGACATAAACAGTACAATACACTAATAATTTTTAAGTTACATTAGTAACAAGGCCAATTTTACAAAATGTGAAATACACGGATGACAACTACTTTTAAATTTAGTTACAATATTTGTTTAAACAAAAATTATACAGATACACATTTTTTCATTCTCACAAAGTACCAAATTCTATTGTAATTGTAAAGCTTCATGGCATCACAACACCCAACTTAATTGTTTTTATCTTATTTATTCATAATCCTTAATACTAACTTTAAACATTTTGTCTAGGAAGCAATACCATTTTCACCGTTTATCTTTTGAGACTTTTTGATCAAGGTTAGGAACATTTGAACTTCTTGAAAACGCAACACTCCCTGTTGTCTGTAATGATGTCATATCTGGTGCTGAAGTTGTGGCTACTTTTCTTTGTCTTACTGAAGCAGAAATATGAGTTGAAATAGTTTTACTCTGTTCTTTGCAACCAGAAGTTGATGCTTTGCTCACTGCAGACATGTGAGGAGTTTGCGATATTGGGCATTTACGAATACTGGTAGATGTTATATTAGTTTGAATGCTATCAGTCATACCTTTGGTATTGCTTCCTCCACCACTTGAAGTAACATGCCCAGCATGATTACTCTTTGTTGGCTCGTATGTTTTACCACTGGAACCAATAGCAGATGACTTGACCAGCAAGTCAGCAGGAACATAAGAAGTGTGCTCAGTTATTGCATTAATCAACACATCTCCTCTCTGAAAAGAAGGAACAAGTGCAGTACCTTCCTTAACTGAAGGCACATTTCCTCTCAGGTTTGAGGAATCTTGATTGACTAGCATAGTTCTCACTTCTGAAGAATCAGAAAAACAAGGAGTGTTTGTTGTATCTTGAAATGGGGCTTCAGTACACCGAACCACTTTAGGAACAATCACTTCCTTTTCACTATCTAATGCTTGTTTCCTTTTAGTCACTTCGGTATTAGTATGCATTTCATCTATCATAGGGATATCGTCAAATTTTTGATTAAGAAAAGCCACGTTTTCCTCATCCACTTGCCCATTTGACATAATGCTACTGGTATCTAGAGGAGACTGTTGTTCTGAACTTGAAACTGAAACAGCAGGTTCTTCTTTCACAACTTCTAAAGGGGGAGAACGCATCATGTATCCAGTGGAGATAGCTAATTGTTTAGCAGGGGCAGCTATTGGAACAGGGTCTGACCCTGATGGTTTTCCAACACCACTTGAATTATACTCTTCGGAGCCATTGGGAACAAGTTCTTTGGGGGGTGATACGGCTATAGGTGTTTCTTTTGAAATATTCTCTGCAGGAATATTGTCTGAAGATGGCGTAAGGCTTGCTAGCTTAATAGATAATGCAGAAATTGTTGATGATGGAAGTGTACTTGAAATGTTTGAAAGAGAATCGTGGTTTCCAGCTACTAAATCTGTAGTCACTTTGGATGCTGCTGTAACAAAACTTCCCTCTGAATTTGCAGAGGATTTTTGCTGCTGATTTTGTAAAATGTTATTGCTTTCTTCATACAACTGAAATTAAAAAGAGAAACATTTTGTACAGTTTTTCAGAATAGGATATGTGAAAGAAATTAAATAGCATGCACACACACACACATACCACATCTACATTCAGGTCCAAGAAAAGTTCTTGGATAAAACGTCGAGCAACATATCTGTATGAACATGAAGCTAATCTCTGAGATACAGCTGAGTAAAGACAAACATCTTGGAAAACACTGGGATTCTTCTGTTTTAACCTGCACACAAAATAAAATGAAATTACTTTAATATAAAAAACCAATCAGACAATCTATGGAGAATATACTTACTGAATTAGAGCTTGTTTGGACAGTTTTGCCCATACTGGATTACTCATACGATTTACGTGTTTCAAAATTTCACGACGTAGCAGCTTTTGACTTGTAGCATGACGGGCTTCATCAGCAATTTGTCCTTCACAAACAGTAAGTAAAACAAATATTGTGAAAATCGATAAGAAAATGTAATTATTAACGTATTCATGATTAAATCCCACATAATGGAGGGAAACATTTCACAAAATGAAGGGAATGGAAGGAAAAATTGGAAAGGGAAAAAAAAAAAAAGCAGCAAACTATTACATCTATGATATGCATGTTGGAATAGTTTATCTAGATATGACTGAATTAATAAGTACTATAGAACCTCAAAGCTACATAACTCTGTAGACCTTCAAAATCCACTGAGCTTATTATTCATAAAAGTAAAAAAATAATCTCACTGACGAAAAAAGCATTTAAGAGGTATTTAAGAAATGGTGAAAATACAGTAAGAAATGAACATCAATAAATATTTTTGTTTTTTGAAACAAAACAATTTTTTTTAACACAAATTACTAACCAAAATTACTTGGGCTATTGCTTGATGCCAAGCTTTCTGTTGGAGTGTTCCAAGCCAGAGTTTCTGCACCTCCACTGCTGAAGCTTTGTGATTTGTGCCGACGAGGCGGACAAAGTATTGGACTCTCCAAACCCCCTTGGCTGCTTTCAGTGTCTACAAAATTAAAAAGAGACAGCTTTTAAAATAGGCCATTTCTTCACCACCAGCAATTTCAAGATAAAAGTTTTTATGTAGTTTGGATGTCAGTGCAGTGTGAAGTTGAATTTGTGTTCTTCAATGCTTGTTTCCATTACATTTATGAATTAGTGAGAAATTTTCAGGTTTAAAGCAGTGGTGATTGTAATGAACAAAACAAAGTAAGGGGAGTAAGGGTGGATATGGGTAGTTCCACATAAGACAGAGCAGGGCAGGCAAAGGCGATACACATGATATAAAATTAATTCCTTAAAGTGTCTGAATAGATGAAGATGATAAATAAATATTTGGGAATGTTATGCTGAACTTGGATTTAAACTTTCCCCATGCCTTTTCCACGTTTCAAACCTTAATTCTTCTGAATGTAAGTGGAAACCATTCACATCCTTCAGAGACACAAACTCCAGCTATCCTGAATCTCATAACGGAAAATGAAGAAAACATTATCACACCACATCTTAAGAGCTGCAATTGGATGCAACAATCACACCATATCTAGTATGCAATTCTAAGTGAATCAGAGTAAAGCACTAATTAAGTTAGTTACATCAAGGCCCAACTACTTCAACGCTAATTATGAAATTATAAATGCTGAATTGTAACACTGATTACCACATGAAAGCTGTAGAAAATGATGGGGATATTGGTGACTGTTACAATGATCTTGTGGATGCTTCGAAGAGAATGGTATCATACCCTTATCAGACAACCAGTCAGAGCTTCCCAAATGGATCCCATGTAGCTTGTGCAAGCCACACTGCCCATATACTTTTAAATGCTTTCCCACTCTCGGCACATGCCATAAGGAAGAAACATGGTTTCTTTAGTCTGTCATCATCTTGAAGGAAAAAACTATTTTTGAAGACAGGTCTATCAAAATATCATCTTTTCCTCCCAGAAGAGGGTAAGATTTGTCTAGGTTCGATATAGTAGAAAGGGACACATCCCAGGGGAGTCAGTGTTGACACAGTGATGTAGTGGGGGGATGCAGTGCCATGGGTCAGCCTGATCACCTTCGATTTTAAAGACCGAATCCTAGCTAATCGATCAAAGTGGGTAAGCTCTCGACCACCTGTCTAGAAGAAGTTGAGGCTAATGTTTGGAACTTGCAGTATGAACTAACACTCAAGTCATCAGATCTCGCTGGGGTTCACACTAAGTGCTATATGAGTGAGCACCCACAGACCCCTCAACCCCCAGGCCACCCATGCTGTTCGACACAGCCAAACATGAGTGAATGTTCAGCAAACAAAGATGTTCAGTGAGGAAGAAAAATAGGGTGATAAAAGAATAAAGGTGACCTGAAATGATCAGGAAGAAGCTGGAAGATGTAGAAAGGAAAAGATGAGAGACTTCTCTACTTCCCTCAAGAGGAAATTGTGGACTGACTCACCTCTTCATGCCCCTTTCTATTAATATATCATAGGAGTGCTCTGTACATTAAAGCTTGGTTAAGTTTCTTTTTTATTCCTTTAAATTTAATTTCTTTATGATTACACCATATACTCCGGTTATTTCTAGTTATATTATTCAGTACTAAAGACATTGTACAACATGTTATTACATAAATAAGTATAAGGCATTCATGTATTTTACAAACAAGTATACTGTACCTACTTGTTCTACACATGAGTCTAATGCAACAGTAAAACTTTAATACAATTAAGAAGAAACTACTACACCCAATGATTGTGAATAAGCTTTTATTTCAATTATCTCTTCAATTTATACCTCTCATAAAACATTTGTGTCAAGAAAAATAAACAAAACATTCAGTGCAGATCAATATTGAGAGATATCACAGTTATCAATACTGAGAGATTTCACTGTTTCGTAAGAAAGCTTAACATGCTTAAATAGGCCAAGTCAATCCAGTCACCAGCTTAAATAATAAAGATCTTCAAGGGTCATACCAGTTCGATGCCGAGAAGAGCCAACAGAGATTTTACGACTCGAGTGAAATCGGGAACACACCATACACAAAGATGCAGCATGCAAACGGTTATCTTTTCTTGAACCCAATGTCTGTTGTGAAGGAATGATATCGTAGTCTTCAGAATCAGAAGATGATGATGGTTCTATTTCATGCCCTGTAGCAAAAAATTATGAAATGAAACTTTGAAGTTCAAATGACCAAATTTTACATTTCAACAATACTTACCAATAGC